TCCATGCCACACTGCTATATTCCCCCCCAAGGTAATATTTTGGCAAGAGGTTTAGGTCTGGAAAACATCCACCTTCTCTCTTCTTCAACTTCCTCTTCAGTTAGTATAAAACGTGCTCCCTCTAAGGCAGAAGAGGAAACATCCACCCACACATGCACACAAACAAGCACGTGTGCGCGCACAAACACATGTGCACGCGCATGGACACATAGATGCATGCACATGTACACACACAAACACGTATCACTCACAGCACAAACTTAATGTTCTGCATCTCACAAAACCACAGTTCTAAAATGTGTTAGGAGCTTCATCTGGGTCTACATGCTCGAACCAAGAGCCGACATGGGCTTTAACAGTTGGAGCTGTAAGCACCAGAAGAAAGAATAAAAGCTACCAAAAAGAAGCTTGGGAAATATTCATAGAGCGTTGAGTCATCCAGATTTAGCTCCTCGTCTCTGGTGCTGCGCTTCACCATGAGGACATTTCCCTTCCTCTTATACCTCCAACTGGGAAGCTGGGCCTCTACCGTGGAATATTCCACGGGTCTCCAGACCTCAAACAACAGACGGATGACAACCCCGCCCCACCCAGTATTTACAGGGTGGCCTTTCTGCATCTCACCACCTACGGATAATTAGCACCTAGCATGTATAAGGCACTAGACACATTTTTTGAATGAATGCATGCTAATATCACAGGCTTTGGCATGCAGATACGCTTGTTTCACTCACGATTTTAAATCTATAAGTTTCATCAATAGTAGTAACCATTTATAGACTGCTTTTCCATGTGCCAGGCAGTGGTATAAAAGGCAAATGTTTTTCTTATCTCTGTATTACACCTGAGGGAGCAGACTTGGAGGAGTTAAGTGACTCACCCAAAGTGTCAGGTCTAGGGAAGTGCAGGTTGGGGATTCGAACCCAGGCAGCCTGGCACCAGCGCCCATGCTTTTAGCCTCGATAACATACTGTCTCCTGGGGCACCCCAGCCACTAATGAACTGGACAGACCAGCCTGGGCTCTGCACCAGCAAAACAGGTAGTGGTTTACCGTCGCGATTCTGGGAGTTACCAGTGACATGCTCTGTGCTTGGTGAAGGAACAGATGTTTAATAACTTTGCAGTAGCGAGGAGGAGGTTATATAACATGGCTGAGCTATTTTTGAACTTTGGAAAATGCTGACTGCTCCTTTCAAAGTGTCTTCTGTAAAATCAGGAATATTAAACATAAAAAAAAATTCCTCCTTTCCCTTACTTTTTTCCCCCTGAAATCCTATGGGTAGAAACAGGTCAATGGCAAGGTCATGGACATGCCCTCCCTCCCAAAGCAGCCCCTTGTGCCACACCAGCCTCATGAGCAATAAGTCATGCTCACAATGTCCTAACTGCACAAGCTCTTCGTATGAGATTATGAGCAAAGTCCCTGAGGATGACCAAACGACATGTCCAGCTGGCTCCAAGATGTTGCTCTCAACCAGTCAAAGCTAGACCCCAGATCCCCTCAGCAACTCATCATGAAACCACCAGGAATGAGTTCATCGGAACCTCTGCTGAAGCTATTTGCACCCTCCACACTACATTGGGGAAAGAATGAGAGCTATTTGTTTACCAGATGCTTTGCAAAGAAAGACTTTTTACCCAGCTGAAAATGTAATATTTTTAAGCTTAAAGTGAGGAACCTCTAACTAAGGTTCCATTGAAGAAGCTGATGGGTTCAACTAAGGCTACAGACAGATATATCTGTTCTCCATCTTCAGCTATCCAAACTGAAGATTCCTTACTATCAACAACCTAAGTGTCCATCAAAAGGGGAATAACTTTTAGAGAAAAAAAAAAAAAAAAGATGGAACCCTTATACACAACAGAATACCTAACAGCAATAAAGACAGCTATGCTGGAATTACATTGTCTTCATAGAGAGATCTTGAACACATAAGGCTGAAGTAAAGGAAAGTCTAGATAGTATTTGTGTGCATTAAGAAAAAGAACTATGTATCGGGAGTACAGTGGCATATACAACTATATGGAAAGTACAAAAATGCCTGCGTGGATTTGGGTGCAGACCAAATTCATCACCTTGTCCTTCCCTCTCCCGGAGAGAAGGGGAGAAAAGTGGGACCGGGAAGAGGAACAATCAGGACTTCCACATTATCATTACTTCTTTATTTCTTTTAAAAATGTTGAAACAGACATTAACCTTTGACATTTTAACCTTTGTTCTCTGTGGTGACTATGGGGTTGTGTATTTTATCATAGTCTGTATTTTTCTGTACTATTCTTTTTTTTTTTCAGTATTAAAAAAAAAGAATTCTTATTCCCTGAGTTTGTCTTTAGACAAATTTCCCCCATCTTCATCAGACTGCGAGGTCTTAAAGGAGAGAATCTTAATATCTTAATCCACCCAAGCATTCCGGGGGCTAGCACAGGGGCTGTTGGACGGATGGAGGGAATGATGGGTGGAGGATAGAAAAATACAGCGCCCTTAGGACTATTGGAGTTGGTGTTTTTATTTTTTTAACTGCCTTCTTTGGGCTTTCTCTGGCTGGGCAGCCTGGCAGCTTCCCCCCTTTCCTGGGGTGGGTGGAAGAGACGCTGGGGTGGTGGTGGGGGGGGTGTGGCGAGGAGACACTGCTTGTGCCACCATCCGACCTCACACGCGGTGAGCACTACCAGCCCTCCACGGACAGAGAGACGTTTCGTTAAACCCCAGGAAGTGGGTGACAATTTACCACACTGGATGCAGTGCTTCTCCGGGGCTGAAATATCATTTACCAAATTGCTGCATTTAAAGGCATGACTTCTGGGAATAGCACAACAGCATTTCACGGCAGCGGGACTTTGCTCATTATATTTTTTTTTTAAGAATGGAATCCGGGTTGGTCACCGGAAAGGCATCTACACGTCTTGCCAATCATCCCTCTCGAATTCCTTTTCCTGTATGTATTGTATTTCAATTGCCCTAAAATTGAGTTATGTTCCCATCAAAATCATACATTTCTGGAAATTCCAGCTGCAGGGCACGTCTTTCTGTGGGGAGTCAGAACTCATCATCCCAGCGCTTGTCTTCGGGCTGGCAGCCATCCTGCCTTGCTGAGAGCCTCCCCCGCCTCCTCCTGATTTATCCGAGTTCCTTCCTGGTATTCGGACAATTATTTAAAATGCTGAAAAAGTGGCAGCGTAGAAACAGGATCACTAAAGAGGGGAAGGGAAATGTCGAAGGAGCAGGATTTCTTAATTCAAGAGTTGTTGTTTTTTTTTTTAGGTGTATGTTAATTGTAAAGAAGTATACTCTGTCCACTCCATCACACATGCTTGTACACACACACACACATACACACACACACACACACACACAGCCCCAGTTCCAAGATAACCTCTGGACCGTAGTAGAGTCAAACCCCTAAAACCTTCCAGAGACATTTTAGGGTGACATTTAGTATTCTGCTGGCAATAAACCAATATGATCTGCTGACTGCAATTTCTGATGGCCAAACACGTGACTAGTCACTCTGAACATTATTAAATAATTACCAGGTGGTAGGTGGGCACTGGGCCGAGTAGCACTTTGCGTGCACCGCCCCATTTAACACTCACGAAAACCCCTAGAACACTGGTCCTCAAAGCATGGACCCCACACCAGCAACATCAATATCACCCATGAACTGGTTAGAACTGCAAATCCTCGGGGCCCACCCCAGATCTACAACTACACTAGAAACTTTGAGCGTGGAGCCCAGCAATCTGTGCTTTAACAAGCCTTCCCAGAGATCCCGGTGCATGCAGAAGTTTGAGAACCATTGCCTGGAAAGGAGGTGCTATTACCATCACTTTGCAACGAACGCCTGGTGCCCAGAAAAGTAGTGTGATTGCCCAAGCCATATAGACAGTGGATGAGACAAGACTGGAACCCGGACAAACCTAACTCCAAAATCTAGTCCCTTCATCACAGTACTACCCCACTCATTATCAGAGGAATGAAGCATGGGTTGAATGAGTGAATATCAGGCAAAAAAAAAAAAAAACATGCAAAATGGGTGTAGGAGTGATAATTCTGAATCTCAACAGCTGAGCCATAATGACTCCCAGAAGGAGCAATGACACTTCTCAGAAACATAAAATTCAACTTAAACGTCCACCAAGATTGGGTAGTTAAATAAATTATGATACCTCCGTATGATGCAATAGAATGCAGCTCTGAGAGTGATGTTTGCCCGGGTTTCCAACGACCTACAAAAACACGTAGGATACAAGAAGGGAAGAAATCCAGATACAAAGTCAAACACAGACCAGGAGTAGCAGTGTGGGCAGTTCTCCCAAAGCGTAACGTGTGGGTAAGGATGTGGGAAATCGGGCGATTTCACAAACTGTTGGTGTGAAGGTAAATTGGGACTCTTACTTTGTAGGGCAGTTTGGCAAGAGATATTTAAATTTTAAAATACACATGGCTTATGACCCCAAATCTCACTTCTTAGCATCAACCCTAGCAAAACACTTGCACATGTGCATAAAGAGACAAGGAAAATGATTATCATTCCAGTTTAGCTGCTAATGGGGAAAAAATCTGAAAAAAAAACCCACCCTAAATTTCTATGATTATGCGGATAGAATCCATAAATCATGGCAAATCCATATTGAGCAACGTGATGTGGGCCCTGGAGTTAGACGTGTCCAAATCTTTGTGAGTTACAAAGAATGTAAATATACTTAAGATGTAGCTATAGAGAGATAGATGATAGATCCCAAGTGTTAAGTTTCCAGGAGATATTGTTCAGTTAAAAAGAAGAAAAGCAAGTTGCAGAAAACAGTTAAAGTACAATGCTACTTATCTTATGAACAAAGGAGGTGCAGAAAGGGGAGAACAAAATAAAAATCCCATAAGTACACACACAACATTCTGCATTGGCAGTGCGCATTTTTATCAAGGAGTATGTAAACCAACAGACAGCAACGACAGGACTCGGATCCCAGGCTGGGGGACAAACAAAGAGCCCTTTCTTACTGGTGCAAAGTGTGCCCGGGGACCTCCGGCTTCTCCGCCTGCCCGTAGCAGCTGGTCTTGGCCTCGGGGATGTAGGAGAACCTCTCCAACATGGAAGACGCCGCCGTGGTGAGAATGCCAATCCCGTCCCTCACCCTGGCCTCCAGGCTGTAGTCCCAGTCGTCGTAGGAGACTGAAATGAGTCCCGATGGAAACTCTTTGGGGATGAGCTCCGTGTTCCCAGAGACCAAGCTGGGGACGATCCAGAAGAAATCATACCCGGTGAGGCCGAGGGAGCGGGCCTCGCTCAGGATGAGGACGGCCTCGTCTTTGGAGCAGTAGAGCAGGATGACGGAAGAGTGGATCTTCTTCAGCTGGACTTGCGTCTTGGCGTCCTCAAAGGACGTGTCCAGGGTGATCACGTTCTGCATGTCCCAGCCCACGAAGCTGTTGTCCACTGTGGTCTTGACGAAGCTGATGAAGTCCCTGTAGCCGGGGAAGATGGTGGTCACCAGGGTGAAGACGTGCCAGTCGTAATCCTGCATGATCTTCAGCATGACCGTGGCTTGCTGCTGGATGGACGCTCCGAACTGGAAGAAGGTGGAGGTCGGATCCTGCCGACAGGTAAAAAGAAAGCAAAAGAGAGGGTGAGGCAGCAGGCAGTTTACGTACAGCTCTATGTCTCCATGGGTTTAAAGAGGCTCCATAGAAGTCAGGGGAAATAAATCACACACCTATCCCTTTGCAGACATTCCTGAGCGCCTACTTCGTGCCAGACTCTGGAATGGACACGAGAAATGCAGGGGTGGGAGAAGCCCCTGCACTCGAGAGCCCACAGCCAGATACAGGGAAGGACGTCTGCTGTGGTCGCTTGCCCATCATCGATCCTTATTTTCCTGTTGTTCATCCCACTCCTCCCTCCTTTGAGTCCATATGGTTCCAGAAGAACAAATTCTATCTGGCCCCAGCCACGGAGACAAAACAGCATCAGCAAAGACAGACAGAATTCTGGTGACATATCTGGGAGCCCCTGGAGCCTGCCGCACCTGACGCCGTTGACCCTGGACCTCTCGGTTGTGTGAGCCAACAGGTCCCCATCTCCACATCAGTCAACTTGAATAGGGTTTCTGTCCCATGAACCAGAGACTCTCATGGGATACGGAGGACAACGCATACTGTGTGACCATCTATCTGTTCAGTCAAAAGCTATTTGTCGACCCCTTACTAGGTGCCAACACCATTTTAATAATGATTCAGGAGACAGACACAGACATGGCCTCTGCCTTCGTGGATCTGATGGGAGCTGGAGGAAAAGCAACTCCCATGAACTGGGGACTGAGAGAGGCCTATGGGATGGTGAAGGAGTACCCAGGCGAGGAAGAGGAGAAACGAGTGGACATTACAATCAGAGGAGCTCTAGGGATTCATTTTGGCCATTTTGGAAACCGTAGAAGAACGGGTTATGGCTCACAAAGTAGGGAGGATAAAATGATGCGGAAAAGCTTGGCAGGAGCCCCACCTTGTAGGTCCTGAGCCACTGAATGTTGTCACACTGGAAAGTGACATGATAATTTACACTGGGTTCCAGGGCATAATTGGTCCTAACATCTCCACTAATCTATGATCATGAGAAAAGAATTTCATCAAGAAAAGGCAAGTGATGCATGTTGTCGTACAACCTGCAAACGGCCCCTCACACCCCCTGAACTCACCACATCCCCGCGACGATCCTACCAAGTTGGTCTCGTTAACGGGGAGAAAAGAGGCTGAAAATGATCCCACAGCAAGTAAGCATCTGAACCCCAGTTCTGTACCGCCACATCCAGCCCCTTAGAGATTCAACCACAGCCTTCTTGGGATCATTGAAGTTCTGCGTAGAGCAGGTACTTAAACTGTGTTGTTGACTGGCTGGCATGGTGCAAAAATGCCAGCCAAACAGAAGGTAGGCCCCTGTGTTGCAGCAAAACAGGATTTGACAAATGCTGAGATATATATTTTTTTCCCTGGGAACTGAAAGAATTCTCAAAGGGTTCTTGTTATAATATAGCCATGTTTTTATTTTACATTCTGTATTTACCATGTGCATCTAACACAATCTCAATAGTACAGCTTATGGATATTCCGTTTTGCGTGTGTGCGTGTGCGTGTGTGTGTGTGTGTGTGTGTGTGTGTTAAGGGTTGATGATTCTATTCATGTCTTTCAGAACAATACTGTGTAGCTGTGCATGTCAACTGCTTCAACCAGTCTACATCATTTTTCCTGTGGGTGCTCACTGAAAGTTTTATCGGAATGGGCCAAGAGCTGCGGTTCTCTGAAATACTGCTCTTTTCTGAAATGCATGGGTGTAGGGGATAATTTAAGCGAACTGTGGCCTGAAGGCAGAGAGAAGAAACAGGAATTAATGCCTTCTGGGCCCCGTCCAACACTACAGTTCTATGAATTTTACTTAATTAAATCAATTAAAGCGGGTAACAAATTTAAAGACGTTGGGTAATTATCTTTTTCCCTATAGTAGCTTTTGGAGAAGTCCAATATTCTTGGATTGATGAATCATTTTAAATCACATCTCAACAAGACTGTGAGCTCCTCAAGGGCAGAAATTTTTGCTGTCCTCATCTTTCTGTCCCCAGAACCTGGCAGAAGACTTGGCACGTGGCACACCCATAAGTGGATGATGAGGGAACGCATGAGCGAGTGGATGTGTGAATGAAGCCCAGGAGGAGTGTCCTTGGTTTAAACAGGAAAGTTAGAGGGGGGAGAATTCAGTATTGTATTTTGTGTGGATCTTGAATAGCATGTCCAGAACAAAGCACGACTTCCAACATCATCACCTACACCTACTTACCCTAAAGAACCACTCCTGCATCCAACGCCCCAAAGATATTTTAGCATGTCCTTTATTGATAAGGAGGAGAATATGGAAGCCCTATAAACCTCAGCAGTTGTCCATCAAACCTCATTAAATACCAAAAAAGACAACAAACATAAAGAACCCACCAACCGAAGACAGCACAGAAGAAAAGTCTAAAGGCGGGTACATCTGTCAACGTCACACACTGGCAGGGGCCTCGTGGGATGGGACTGAAACATGCCAAACTTAATCGCAACAGAAATGTGATGACTCCCACAGAGAGAAACAATGCCTCTGAGGGAGCCAGTCGTCAGACTGCAAAAGGCAAGGGAGCACCATCTTTCTGCACTGCGTACATGCGGAAGAGAGACGGTTCTCAGCAGGACTCTCAGTGCGTAATTGGAACCAATAAAAAGGGTCTATGAGACGACCCGTATACACACACTCCTCCCTTGGGGTCATTGGTATTGGTGGAGAGAGGCAGAAGCCAAACATGCGAGATGACGATGGAGTTTGGGGTCCTCCAACACCCTTGGTCCGGGTGCTCTGAGCTAGACGTGACCAGCGTATCCATGAGAAGATTTGTGCACAAGCAGAGCCCTAAGCGAATGCAGTCTTCCCTGGTTGTCCACATGTAGAGGAGGGGAACTTCATGACGGGGAAAGCTAATCACAGGAACAGCAGTTCATCGGCCCGGAGCCAGCTCGGCACAGGCCATCTGTGAAAGGGCATGTGCAAAAAACCCTCGCTCCGTGCTGTCCCCATTCCCTGTCCTGCAACACTTGAGCCCAAGCTGACTCTCCCCTGTCGCCTCTACTCCGATCTAACAGCTGCTCCCCAGGAGACGAGTGCGACTTCTCGGGTTAGATCCCGGCTTCAATTCTCATCATGTGGCCTTGAGGAAGGGGAAAAAAAAAAAAAAAACACTCAACCTTTCCAAGCCTCAGTTTTCTCATCTATAAAATGGGTGTGGCTAGGCTACTATAATTATTAGTTAACATGCCAGAAGTACTTACTCTACGAGAGTCGTGTTGCTCAGCACTCTCCAGATACCTTCCAGATAGTATCTCGTTCAATGCCACCCTCAACCACCTTACTAAGTGGGTACTAGCATTGCGCCCATCTTACAAATGAGAAAACAAAAACAGACTCAGAGGTAGAGTGGCTTCTCTGGGGTCACACAGGCAGTAAATCAGGTTTGCTTGTCTTCAGGATCCCAACCTTTCCACCTCTGTACCATACTGTGGCCAATAATGGCACTTCCTCGGCAAGCTGTAGGATGAAATGATCTCCTACATCAGAGCACCCAGTGCAGTGTACCTGTCACATACCAAGTGCCAGCAAATGTAAGTGACTATTATTTTTCCCAGGGGAAAAAATACCCCCTTGGTATCTCACATCAGGGGACAATGCTACTCCCTCAACAAGGTGATTCACACTCTGGGCTAGGAGCATCTCAACCACTCGCTCTGTTCATAGCTGCCCGGTTGAAATTCCTAAAGCATCGCTTGAACCATGCCACTCCCCTGCTCTGTAGTCCTCAGTGGCTCCCCTAGCTATACCACATTAAGTTCAAACTCCCCAGCCTACCCCTTTATGTGAACCAGTCGAGCTTTATAGACGAAACACCATGGGTTCTGAAGTCTACCAAACCCGAGTTCAAGTCCTGGCCCTGCACTAACGAACCATGTCGTTCTGGGTTAATGCTTAACATTTCTGGGTCTGAGTTTCTTCACCTATAAGGTGGGCTTGGTGACCAGCAGTCCACGGAGTTGCTGGAGCATGAGGCGCACTGGTCGAGGCTCATCTGTCCACGCCCAACCCCAGCAGCCCCAGTGCCGCCTTCCACGTCCCCAGGCCCACAGACTGCGTGGCCGGCACCAGAAACCCAGGGCACCTCCGGACCCGCTGACATGACAGCTCCGCATCCCCACTGCCCGCTGCAAACCAGCCCATTCGTTCTGAGCCCGAGGAGCCTGCGTGACAAGGAGGAGAAACTGGCTTTCTGCACAGTAATGAATCCGTGCTTGGAGAGGAACCGTCACTAATGTCCTCCCTGGGCCTCCTGCAGCTACCCTTGCTCCACTTGCATCTCTCTTGGCGTCTAAAACTTCAGCTTCGCAAACCACCGAGGACCAAAGGCATCAGATACCCCTCGGAAGGGTGGAAGCGAGGAGTTATTTGCAAAACATAATTGCAGAGCAAGGCCCTGAGGGGGCTCGCACTTAGCGTTGGGTTTTTCTAAGGTGATTTTATGGGCTGGCAGGAGGTTACGGGGAGCCTGGCCGCACTCCCAGGCCTGGCATCCACCATGCCAAATGGCCCTTGCTTCCAAGCCCCTGCCTGGATGGTAGATGCCTCTCCTGTGAGGACCTCCTCCTGCCATGGCTCAGCCTGTGCTTTTCGGATGCTGCAGATCAGTGTCTGACCACCTCTGGCACTCGGCTTCCTCCGAGTGTGCAGCCGGGGAGAGGAACAGATTTCTCACACCCACTTGGGTTCTGAGCAAAAGCCGTTCCCTCCCCATGCTCCCTGCTCCGCAGAGCACAGAACAAACTGTCTCCAACCCAGCGCGAGGGAGGCAGGGGGTGTGGGATTCTGGGTGTCTGCTCCAGGCTCTGTGTTTCAGTCTCCCCAGAACGGAGGTCTCATCCCATCAGGTCCGGAGCATCGCATCCTGTTCTAGAATGTTCCAGAGCTTGCTGAGCCCCCAGGGTGACGCCTGACTCCACGGGTACCACGGTCTGATGTTCAACAGACTC